GGGGGGGGGGAAACAGCCCATTACCACAGCTACACTGATACAGATGTGGTCTGCTGGGGGCTCGGCGGGATCTGAGTCACAATCTACAGCAGGTACAGTAGAGTGGAATGCAAAAGTTTAGGCACAGTTGGTCAAAAGGTGTTTTCAGTGGACGTAAGAGATTGTTGGACATGTTTCTTCAACTTTATGGGGTTGAAAAATACATCTTAAGAATGAGATTGGGCACATCAGTTTAGTCAGAGTACGCACAATAACATTTCCGAGGTAACTGTTACAGCCTTTTGTTGCTAGTGGGTTTTAAAAAAGGGGGCCAACAATCAAATGACAAAAAAATACAAAACATGCATAGCGTTATTAGTGCTTTTCAAACAAAGCCTACAGTTACTGACCGATTGACCGGCTTGTGTTCCTTAAATACCAATAGGACTTTTCCCAAAACCAAACACTGTGAACACGGGCAGGAAACACCTGCAAGGCCCTTAGGAGATCATTTTTCCATTCTGCAACGAAACCTGCTGTTCTGGTTTAGGGAGAAGGCCAGTTTTTGCTGTCCACTTTTAAAAAAAAATATTTTTCACAGAGCGTGGCACGTTTGCCTCCAGGGTTTGCCCATATTCCCTTAAATCCATCCTTCACACTGGCAGGTAATAGTGACCAGGGAGTTCGTCTTTTTTTAGGCTGCCCAGACTTTTGCATGCCTCTGTAAATACAGTTTCTAGGTTTGCGCCGCTAACTAGCCGGTTGGTTCATACCAGGTATTCTTTCAGACGGAAATGTGCTCTACCGCCAGCCTTGGGGAAAGATCAGATAACGGCACATGTGTCAAAAAGACCCATTCCAGATGCTGTCATTCCAAGTTTTCCTGTTGCTATCACGCAGGCTGTAACACTGAACATGTCCAAGCTGCAGTTGACGAGCAGTACTTACTGTCCAAAACTTAACGAAGTACTGAAGGTCTGTGGCGGTTATAAAAAGGCAGTAAAGAAGTGAGTACGCCAGGAACTGCATGAAAAACTTGTAGTTTGAGAATCCCACACAGTTGTTCACCCTGCAGAGACAACAACATGCAGGTTGATAACTGACCCTTGACCTTTTGTTAGTAACACAATGAAGCTGCTAAACTAAAACAAGACAGTGGATTTAACGGTTTTTCATGTCAGCATAGTGGCTACAGCATTTTTCCTTGTAGTTGGTAAAACAGAACAATTTCTTTGTTATTATCATGGTTTCACTAGTTCTATTCATCTAATATTTATGTAACTTTGCCCAACTTCTTTTTATCGTCACATACATTTGGCTTGTGGGTCACCAGAAGCATTTGTGATGTAAGTGTGCTCCCTTCTCTTGCTGTTTTTATTCAATAACCCATGTTAAACAGAAACATGGACTGGTTTCTTTGGTATACTCTAAAAGTGACACAGTTTGCAATAAAGGCAAACAACAATATCTCCCATCATATGAAGATGAAGTTTAAATTCCTCACTAAGCCATTGTTCTTCATCTCCTTGTTGTTTTATACATTATATGGGAATTGTTGGGCTACTGTAAATAACTTCAGAGTATTTCTGCTCTGTTTGGAAAGCGCTGTGAGATAACTGTTGTTGTGATTTGGCGTTATATAAATAGAATTAAATTAAATTGAATTGAACATTAGCCACGAATGCTTACTAAAACAGAGGGGGAGAGCAGAAAAACTAAGCAAACTTGTGAATCCTTGTGCAAATGTTGGCAAATTACAGGCTCGTTCTCATGAGCTTCTACAACAGTCGTCAAACTGTTCATTATTTTTGGAAATTCCCTACAAGTTCAGGGGCAGCATCGTGAATAACCCCGTGAAAACTGATCTGTGACGCCAAAGAATCACTTTGCACGCCAAAAAACAGCTTATTTCAAGAGGAAAAGACAAACAGATGGTGTTTACTTAAAATCAGATGTGTTTTGTCTCCCTCTGCTGCCAAAATCTACCCTCTGACAGATTCTGTCCTTGGAAAACGCCAACTGTGTGTCAGTGTAATGGCAGAAAACCTTGTTAAACTGAATGGAAATAGACATTGTGCAGCAAAGTTGCGCCGACTGAATTACAGAACAGGGAACCCTGAATCTGTTTGGGTTTTTCAAAAAACCAGATGATCTGATCATACGACCACAAAAACGCATTGACTCCATGTTCATGCAGTGCAAAAACAGTTGGGTGCATTTGATTTTTTTTTAAAAGCGTGTCCACATACCAGGGGCAGTGGTGATCCATCTTCAGGATGCACCTGTAACGCAGCAAGGGGTCAGGCATCAGCGCAATTAGATCGCACTCCATCGGCCGAGTATGCAGTGCATTGTGTGGTCCGTACTTATCGCACGCTGAACAATGGTGACATCGATCAGGCTTCAGCAGCTGGCAGCGGTCACAGAAACGGATCGCTGAGGGGACACAGCCAATTCAATCAACACTTGACCACTGAGCAAACGAGCCAGACGGGGTCTCGAACGAGTGTCGCGCGCCCTACCTCCGGAGTTGGTGCGGGTGTAGATGGGCAGGTCCTTGGCTATCCTCCTCAGGATCTCCTGCTGGGACTCTCCCCGATCTTCACGCTCCAGCAGCTCCTTGTCAGAGTGGGACAGGTGAAACTAAAGTAGGGCAGAAGCAAAGACGCACAACAGCTGTGATTTCTTTTCTCTCCGGGGTTTATCAGAACTGTGTCTTTGAAAAAGTCAGAAAATTTTTTTATTTTTCTGCAGTGGAGGGTATATTTGGAGGGTACATTCGTTCAGAGGCGTGAAGCAGCACGGGGCTGCGACATCGCTTTAAGCCGTGAGGCGATTTATGATTGAACCCTGGAAACAAATAACCGAGATGATAACAAACAGCGTGGAAACAGCTCGGAAATTTATTACAATCACCAAAACCTCCAGTGATCCATGGATAACATCTCGTAAAGAAGGCCTCTCATGAGAAGCCGTCAGTGCCTGCATGTGGGCCTCACCGCAGAGGGGACTGAAAAGCAGAAAAACCCTCTCTGAGACGCGTGGTATGCATGGGCTCGACCTACAGAGCAGCAGCGCTGTGGTCAGAATCACGACCGTTAAAGTGCAGCTGGAGGCACTTCCACTGGAAAGTGTTATTGGTCTAAATGCACCACTCAATCACACAGGGAAGCTGCAACCTACATCTTTTACTTCCCGCCGGGCTTCATCATCCACTGCATCGGAGTCAGACACACTCACCTCCTTCAGGGGGTTCATGGGCCTGGTGAAGATGGTTTGCCAGTACGCCCACACGAACATGATGAAAATGACATGGTACACCAGCAAGTACACGGCTGCAAGCAAAACAGCACACACAAGCATCGCCGTTAGTCCTCAAGCCCCGTGACTGAGCACATATTTACAGTTTGCAGCTCGAATGGATGTCAGTATGTCACCGATTTCCATTTACTCTCCTTTACTTCATGGCTAAAAATGAATAACAGATTCAAATCAGAAAAACTAATCAAACTAGATGTACAATTTATATTTTGCATCGATACCAACATGACTTCAGAAGATTCCAATTTTAAAAAGGTCCTCAGGCTTCTGCTCAGGATGTATGGAATTCACTACACAAACAACATCATGGACGGATGTGATGTCATATTTATTAGATTTGTCCACAGTTTTATTTTCATCAGTTTGATCAATGTGTACCTCTCTGAACAGGAATACTGACTGCTCTAAATGATAATACTAACATCTTCATTTTGTGGCCATGGGTGGATTAAATTCCAAAGGGGCCCAGTACAACCATGTGAAAGGGACCCCTATTCAAACATAAGGCACCCTGATTTTTCCCTGTTTTTTAAGTGGGATGATATGAAGTACTTATGAGCTGTCAGTCTGACCTGCCAACTTTCAGGGAATTAGAGGTCAGAGAATGTTTTTGCATCGCTTTTTAATTTTTTTTTTGTTTGTCACTGTCATAAGCCAAATAAGCTCCGTGAGGTTTATTACATGCACTGTGACTGTTCAATCTTATGATGCTCGCATGTTTTACAGGACATCTTAACAAAGGAGGTCTGAGGGGCTCTCAGCACTAGATATTGAACTAGATGTCCAGATCATACTGCTGATACTGTAGACATTTAACTAAACTCAAATGCACAACGCTACACCACATTGTGTTCTTGTAAAGGCGGAGTTATTGACTTTCCGATCAGAAAAGTTCACACTTTGCAAGAAACTCATTTGAAAAAATTTTGGGACATTTATTTCTGACCAATTGTACAACTGTTGTTGGACGTTACAATGATGTGAAGCTGCAAGAAGTCCAAAAACCAAAAGCTGTGGAAGAAGAATTAAATCATTCTTTTCTCAAAGCCTTGGGAGAGAGAGCATATTCCTCTGTTTATGCGGTTTATGTGGAAGCCTTAAAAAATACTAAAATGCGACTGCTTTTTAATACAACCAATAATTCAGAGTTAAAGATGAAATTTCTAAACACATTTCCAGCAGATACGAGCTGATTACGGCGTGTTGATGGGGGCTCCAGGCTGCTGAGCTTTCTCTGGCCTACAAACTCAGCTCACCATCAAACAGCAGCCGAAGTCGCTAATGATTCCTCTTGGTGTTGTACAGCATTATGAAACACTTACCCTTTTCCCCAGTGTCTTCAATTGACTCTGTAATAAGAAGCATCAAAAGGAACAGTCAGGGATGAGTTGAATAACAGAAGGAGACATGTGAACAGTTCATTTTCCTGTTAAAGTCCTTCTGCGACAGTAACACAAACGTTGTGTGTCCGAGACTGACAACATGTTTTACTTAAAACCAGTTGCTGACTTCAGAACTGAAAAATGCTGACTTGGTAGACCCATTTTCCTGTCTCCAGTACCACACCAGTCACAAAATCAATGTGCACTCAGTTAGTCAGCTTGGTTGTTTTGCTAAGTATTGAGGAGCAGTGTGTGTGTGTGTGTGTGTGTGTGTATGTGTGCTTTCTGTGTATATGCTGTACAATCTTTAGTGCATATTCTTACACACATTTTTTACAACAAAGACTTCATCCCAAATATTAGCCGAGATCTGCCGGAAGATTGGCTCGTTTCATATTTTTCCCGATAATCTAAGCAATGATTAGCAGAGCAAATCATCCATCTTCTCTAATTAGCAAGTTTAAAAAAAATTAAAGAGCAAACATGTGGAAATGAGAAAAGGTGAGCCAAAGAGCTGAGTCAAGGCGCCCAGCCAAAAGTCGTGTGCACGCTGCCTTGCCAGCATAAATGCACCAGAGTCTGACAGTGTGTGAGTGTGTGTGTGTGTGTGTGTGAAAGAGATTAACGGCATGTGCAAGGGTGTACATTAATGCATCTGCAAAAGTATTGGAAATAAGCGTGCTGTTTTTCCTCTCTTCATCCTCACTTTTGGCTGCTATTTCCACCAACTCTGTGAAACCAAACCCCCCTTGCCACCCTTGAAAAAGGGACCTGCTTTGTAAAGGCGGTAGTGGTGGTGGTGGTGGTGTTGGGGGGCGGGGGGGGGGTGCTGTTCAGTGCTTTAAAAGGAAGTGGGTCAACCTCAGATTGCTCAGGGTGAATTATGTAAACCAGACAATGGGATTAACTGAGCTGAGACGTATCAGCTGATGATACTTTCACACAGTTGAATGTGTCTGTCTGCGGAACACATGCTGCGGGCCTGAGCAGCTGCTGTCCTGCCCCGCTGACGCCGCTTTCATCTGCCCGGCCCCTTGTGACCCGGGTGCATCACAATTTCCCTCTTGTTCCACGGGAGCCGCAAACAAACGGCAGTCTCTATTTTCTGTTACCCTGCGGCCATCATTAATCTCCAATAACATCTCATGGATGGCAGGTGACCTGTAATTCAAGACAGGGTTCATCCCGGGACAGATGCTGGCTGGCCCCACTGTGACATGACATGACACACTGATTCCTTGCCAATCGGTGTACACGGTGCCAGTGCGGGCCCTTTCAGGTATGGCTGGATTGCAAGTCTGGTTTCTTTTTTATATATATATATATAAAAGATCAGATTTAGGAAGCAAGCCACCAGAAAAAATCCATCCCTCTCTTCCCCTGTTCGCCTCTGTTTGGTCGCATTAAAGCGTTTCCTTTTTCATCCCCGCTTTTTTGTCAGAGGAGACTTTCCTTTCAAGTGGTCTGACAGGCTGCCAAATGGAGCGCAAGAGCAGGCTGCTGAGACTCCTCCGAGACATCCTAGAAACCATTACTATCCAGGTCAACTCTGTTCGCTGAGGGAGGGCTTGCAAGCACTGACCACACCGTCCAATGTTGGGCAGTCAGGAGCCACAAGCGAGGCATTAAATAGCCCCCACCCCAAAATGTAATGCTGTTTGTGTTTTAGTGGAGATGGGCATGGATTCACAAATAATGAATCTCTGTGAGCACATGAGCCCGAAGCTATTACAGTAAGACTTTAAGCTACTGATGATGGAGTGGGAGTGGTGGAATCAGATGGTCTAATCCACATCTTACACCCTTTGATACTGCATATGTCATCAAATTTCACTTAAAGCTCCCCTGTAATAACAGCAGGCTTCCCTAACATTATATTGTTCGGTGTGTTATGCTTTGAGAAGACATCTGATAATGTTTTTTTCACATATGTGGAAACAAACCTGGCACTGCCATGTGACTGTCCACACACTGCGTAAACAACACCAAGAGAAAAGAGCAATAACGATAAGGACATTAATATCAATGATAACAATCAGCCCGGTTCACAAACAGTGATGAGACGTGTCTGTCTCCAAACACACGAATGAGGGGTCAGTTGGAAATTTCCCCCTTCTCCCTCTCATCTCTCACACACTCACACACGCCTCCTCTAATTCATAGTACGCAGCCGGTTCTTACCTATGCAAAGCTGGAAAACATAGGCGTAGTATGACCAAGCCACTATGAGAGCGATGAACAGGACCGGGATCCAGTACAAAACTCTCCAACAGCCCCACTTGACACTACGCGAGCCCGACGGTGCCATAGTCTACAAGCGGATCATTTCCCTTGCGCATTCGCGTGCCGTTCCTCCCTCCTTTCGTCTACCCGAGCGTGTTCACGTATGTGTGTGCGTGTGTGTGTGTGTGTGTGTGTGTGTGTGTGTGCGCGTGTGTTCTAGTAGCCCGTCACTGCATCATAGTCTGATCAGCCTCGTTCAGACGCAACATCCACGGCCTGACTCCCTCCCCCCGCCCCCGACCGGGCTGCTGCCTCATCCGCCGCCGCTGTGGCTGATGACCGCGCTCCGGTCCGGTCCGGTCCGGTCCGGTCCAGTCCGGTCCGGTGGTCCCGCTCCGCCGCGGCCACGGGCCACGACACTACGCCAAAAAGCTCGTGAACACGCGTGAACACACGCGCTCAGACATAAGACCCAGAGTCAGCACCGCCCCTTGCTGCCTCCCCACAGGTTGCCATGACGTCCGCGAGATGCTGCAAGCCTGGCACTTTTTTTTTTCTTTCTCAGCGCGCGTGCAGGAGATGGGTTCAATAAGTTCGAACTTGCGTATGCCGAATACTCTCACACACACACACACACACAGGCTCCCACACACACACGCGCGGGTGTACGTTAGAAGCGTAAGCACAAACGTATAGGGTTCCAGTGGTCATTTCTCTCCTTACGACAATCCGCTCAGCATTTCAGATTCGTTTGCACAGTTTGCCTGCATCACATGCCATCACCCGGCTGTGTGCCCATTCCAAAGACTCTGCTGCTGCACGTCCTCGGTGGCCGAACTTGAAAAATGTTTTTGCAGAGCTGCAGGAGGTGCATGCGCTGCTCCACGATTGCTCTCATCCGTTCATCTCTCTGAATCGTTTCTCACAGAGCATGCAAAACTCTTTTTTTCTTTCCTTTTTTTGACATTTGGGGAGTGACAGCAGGCTGCACCAAGCCGACAGTATGCACCACAATATGTACATTGCAGTCTTGTTAAAACATGGATGGCTGTAGAGTATTTTGTCTAGCTATGATATTTGTTTTTAGTTTTTAGTTTTTTAATATCATGTGTGTAAAATAATCCAGGTGGTCACAGCTTGGCATATACAGAAAGCTGCCTGCTTTCTAGATATCTTGCCAGGAGTAAACAAATTGGACTTGATTTTAAAAACTATGCACAAACACAACTAGAAGTAGAAGTCAATGCAATACGAGTATGCAAGTCAATATTTGCCACCATCATATTTATTCTTAAACCCAACCTGAACTGTCCAAGACAAGCTTTCCTGTTCTTTAAGTAATCTTCACGAATAGTTTGACATTTGTCTTGAAAGTCTGTCAAGATGATTCCGCACTGTTTCACTAATGTCGAGGTCTGGGCTCTGGACAGGACTCATCCCGCCATAGAATCCGTTACCACTGATTTCAGCCTCGTTCTTCTGTCATTTGGCATAGCTCAACCCCCTTCCCTTACTTTAAAATGGCTTCTTTCTGCCACATAGCCAGTGTCCAATTTCTACGCAGAAGATGGATCAACTGATGGTCCAGATTAGAATAGATTAGGACAATCACCTCTGAATGACCCTTCTCCTCCTATAGTTAAAGTCATAGTGATGCATACTTTCTGCCAACAGCTGTAAGGAAATCAGAAATTTTCATAAAGAAACTATCCATCCATTTATCTATTTTCTATTCTTATTCCTAAGAGTATTGCAGGTGGGCTGGAGCCTAGTGCAGCTGCCTTAGGCAAAAGGTACGCTTTCACCAGTCCATCACAGAGAGAGACACAGAGGCAAACAACCACACACACTCACATTCACTCCTATAGGCAATATTGACGTTTGGGCAAAATGTAAAGTGGACGGTTGATCTCTAACCCATCTAAGAGGTGAGAAAAAGGACTTAGTGGTGTTTTGTTATGCAGTTAATTTACAACCCCCCATCACGATGAGGTTGGGATATTTGTCAAAATGTAAATACATTTTTCCCAAATGTACAAACAATTAAATTTATGATTTCCATACAGTTATTGGAAATGTGGACTCCCCCCTACAGAAGCACATTTTTCAGTCTCTCACAGTCTGCCTCTGATCATTTTTTTAAGCATTTTTTATGCATTAGATTTCAAACCAAGGAGCAATTAATATTTGCAAAAAGCTAAATTCCATAATGTTTTCAGTTTGAACAAACTGAATATTGGTTGAAAAAGGAAAATATGTTTTGTATTTTTGTAATTTTTTAGTTTTTTTATGCCAATCCCCAACGAATTGGAAATTGGGTCTCTATATCGGAAGTGGTGAGCCTCAGTGAAACACTAACATCAACATTCATATGAGTCATATGTCTGTCCTTCCGCTCATAGTGGCACAAATTTACAGGCAAGTTTTATAAAACCTGTTTTTTTATGTCATGGGTCATTTGGGCCATTGTCAATAGTTAGTTCAAACAGATACACAGTATGATACAACCTCTTCCATGTTTTACTACAGGTAGGATTTTCTTTTCTTTATGGCTTCTTCCATTCTTTACTTGCAGACTTATTCACTGCATTTTTAGAGACCTCCAAACTGAACTTCAATGTCAACAGATTAGCTATTTTATGTAATTGTGCCTTTCAATAAAGAACTTCACCTTAATTCTAAAGACATGGCGTACAAAATGTTGCTGTGCCACTCATTTTGACTATGTGTAGCACCAGGTACCAATGAAGGGCTTAGAATGGATTAACACTGTCAGGGAGCTGCAGCAGAATCCTTGAAGGACCCTCTTTGTGTTCTTTAACTAAGGGTAGGATTAGAGAGTGAGCAAATTATTACCCTGCTGAATTAATCATTTCAAGATAAAAAAGTCCCCGATCATTCTTGAACACCCACGCAGCCCCTGGTTCTTCATGATTAATGACGTTAATGATTTGCCTTCAGGTTGAGGCTGAAACAGCTAATTTATTCTGCTGTGATCCTGCCTTCAGTCCACTGTAAACACAAAGACAAAAAAAAAATCGGAGCAGTAGCTGTTTAAGAGCAAGTGACAAAGGTTCAAGTTTTATTAGCTGTTGTGCATGGAAACAGAGATCAGAACAAAAAAAGGGAGAAATAAATGGTCTGCGTGAAAGCAGGTATAAGACAAAGAGCTCAAAAAGACCATGAATCAAAATGCTTTAAAAGTCAGTTCACTGTATCAATGCACCTATAATCTACTTCCAGTGTAACAGTCAAAGCCTGATTTAAAATAACGAGGTAGACAAATATCTAATACAACAACATAAAGTAGGGTGAGATACAATTGCTTGATCTGGTTGATCGTAAAGCATATCGAACACTGATATTTTCATTGTTCTCATGTCTTTAGACAAAGCAGAAATAGTCCCAGAGACGCATCAACGACCAGGAAATTTCTTCTTCCAACATCTTATTGGTTGTTCTAACATATGGCTCCTTTAAAACCTATGATAATCTAAGCTGAGTGATTCAGCAGTTAAAGAAACATATGGCTTCAATATTCAGTGTATCAACCTGTACAGAAGTCGGTCCTGCTGGCACTTCTATCAACCAGCCAAGAAATGATTAACACAGTTGGTTTCCCGTGGTTAAACAGTGAAAACGCCACAGACTGAGTGTGTGAGTACCTGCTGGCTCTGGAGGATTTAAGGGGTAAAACACTTTGGGTTGAAAATGAGGAGGGGCGGTGCAGGAATAAGCTGACATCAGGAGGAAAGCAGGAGTGGGACAGGCTCCAGACACAATGGCTCTATAGACAAAAGCTAAATGATTTAATATCTTCTACGTTACCTTAAATAAATAAAGAGAGACAACAAGGTAAACATTTGTAAAGCATGGACACAAATTACACTAAGCAAGTAAATTGTTTTAATTCATAATGGGTTTGCCATGTTTGTCTGAGCACTTGCCACAGCTTTCATTAGGCTGACTTCATCCTGTTTGTGCCACGTCCTGTTCGTCTTAGTCTCTTCAGGCAGTGTTCGAAGTTTCTGCGGCATGCATGGGCTCCTCTGTGCTGACAGAGAAGGCACAGCTGGTCCAGGCTGGGAGGCTCTAAGACATGCTCTGGTGTTTGGGGTCTTCATCTGTTGACAGGACAAAGAACAACAAAAATAAAAAAAGATAATTTCAATGCTGCATGACTGAGGAGCAGTCTGCATCTTCTCTGCTCTGCACCTCAAGGCAGTCCCTCGTGTCTTAGGTCTCACATGGTAGCAAAAAACTAATACTTCCTGCAGGTATTGCAGTTACTTTCCGTCCGATTAGCCAATTATTTTGTAATCGTGAAAATTAGGTGTTATAGCCCCAAAACAGACCACTAAATGAGGTCAGTTTAAATACCGTCAACAAATTTAGTTGACTTTTTTTTTTAACATATCTATGTCTATGTAATATCTATGTTTTTTTTTATCTACATCAGCAGCCAGAAACAAACTCTTTAAAATATGATATTAGAAATAAAATATCTTATCTAATAATGGTAAAGATACTTCTGGGTGAAAAAAGCGTAGATAGAAATACTACAAAAAGGTTCTTTTTAGGAAAGTAACCCTGAATCCAACATGTAAAAAAACATAATTAAAAGATAGGGATGGTAGCTTTCAGGCATTTTCATATTGTCAACACTTTTTTTTTAAATACTGTATATCACTAAAAATCTTAAATCCTAAATCTGTTGCAGTCCAGTTTTCCTAAATGTAATTATAGATTACCTAAATATGTTTTTTCACTACTAATGTGATAATCATCTCCAAAAATAAACCAGCCGGAGCTGAGTGAAATCTAAACTCTTCTCTGCACTTTAATCCTGTTCAAAAGCTCACAACGAGGAAACTAAATGAAAATGTCCCCCCTCTTTTGCCACTAAGATGAATTTTTTCATTTTGAAGAACTTTTTTTTCTTCCAAGGGCGTACAAATCAAGCTGCCTATCAACTTTTTTTCCTCCTTTTTTAATCAGGGATTATTATCAAACTCTCCTCTGAGAGCTGCATTTCCTTTGAAACATTTATACAGCTTTAAACTGCCCTGCTCTTTGCTCATGTATGCAGATCTAAGCCGGTATCCGGTGGCAGTTGTTCAGCCGTTAATATTACAGTGTAACTTAATGCTTCGGGCAAGGGGAGAGGGCCTCAAACACATCTCAGAAGAATGACCATGTGGTACTTTGGAGAGACATAATAAATGTGTGGCTTTGTGAGACAAATGGTTTACTTATTTGCTCGAAAGCTCCTTCCTCATGCAGGACTTGAAAGAGATGAACTTCTCCTCCGCTCTGACGCCCTGACGATGTGCAAGACGGAGAGAGGGGAAGAGAAGAGAAACTCAGTTAGTAAAAAAAAACTAAACTGTTATGGCCCACTAGATGGCGGTATAACATCACACCTTCAAGCTTTCAAATAAACACCTCAGCGTGAGCGATGTTTACCTGACAAAAAGTGGCAGGAGTGTAATTTAGACATGATGATATGGGGTTATTTCAGTGTTCTAGCAACTAAATAAAAAAGATACACAATAAGTCCTTAGTATAAGTCATAATTAAACCAGATAACTGATGTTTTGTGCTTTTAGCTGCTCACAAATATTTTGTTTTAAAATATTGTTTTGAACAGGAACATGTATCTGAGCTCAGAATGAAGCCGTGTTTGTCTGAGTCCTTTTTTCTCTCCCCCTATGTGTCCCGGCAACACTGTAAAAACTGCTGGGATCTGTCACCAGTGACACATCTGCACTGCCTCCCAACCAAGTGGACTAGCTGGGAGCATCTCAACTGACGTCTCACCACGTCGCCACGATGCAGCCGTTCCTTCATCACGCCCACAAACTCCTTGTGGCTGAGTTTACCATCGTGGTCTTCATCGAAAATCTTGAAGACGGTGTTGACCAGGTGCTTGGTCAGCTTAATTCCCGTGGCCACGTAGACAGCCCTGGTGAACTCCTCTGGGAAGTAATAGCAAAAGGTGAAGAATAAATTTACAGCCAATTTGTATCTTGATCAGAAATAAATTATCTCCTACTTAAGAAATACATATTCTACTGTTTGCCAGAGACCCCAACCCTTCAAGAAACCACTGGAAGCCACTTAAGAAGTAGAATTAAAGCAGAGAAACACGCAGGAAATGGTACAAGTTAGTCACAGGTGGACAAATTGTCCTTTCCAAGCTGCCGATATTCTTCCTGATTCACAGCTGATTGGATATACATTTTTTTAAAAACATAATCAAATTTTACCATAGAGGAGGGCAGAAAGGTTAGTTTACTGATGACTAGCATAACTTAGACTATGATGATAGAGGCAGATAACTCTAGACTTTGCTCTTCCTCACTCCAGAGATGCTTTGGAATATTTTCCCGCCTGATGAGTATCCGCTACTCTTCTTTTTTTTATACCAGTCTGCCTAAAAACAGTTGGTATTCCAAAAGGATCTTGTACTCACAGATATTATAACTGGATATTAATTAGTTGGGGAAAAGGTTTCCCTGTTGTACAACATTGTCACATTTGTTTGATCAGGGTCTCTTTGTCTTTGACTTTGAAAATAAGCTGATGGTTTGGTCATATTCATGTTAAACTTGCTACATCCCAATTTGCAAAAATGTGTAACCCTGAACACTTCTATCTATTCTATTTAAAAAACTGTAAACAGTCTTAGTCCAAGGAATATTGTAATATCTCAATTTAATTATCGTTAATATAGATCAATTTCTGCACTTCGTGATCGTAAATCCTGCAATGGTAAAAAAGAAAACGTTTTATTCCACATTTCCTGCTTTAGTGTGGAGCAGTTCAGTTTTTAGGTTTCAAAATTCTCTACACGTTCTTTTTTGGGGCACACTGATACAGCCTCACACAGAGCCTGACACTTTACTGCCGGCAACAGAATGAACTACCCTTTAGCATTTTTTCTTCTTAAACCTTTTTTTTTTTTTAAAGACTGGTTTGACCACGACAGAGGTTTCAAATATGTGATTGCTCAAGTTGATGAATCTGGTGAAAATGATTATCCCTTTTTTTAACCAGAAATGAGTGAATGTAACTCTGGCTTTAAGTGCATTTACTCAGGTGGTTTTCTTAAACCACCTGTGCAACCACCTCTTACTTTATCTATACTTCTTTGTTCAATCTCCACATTTAAACAATCAGAATCACGGGTTTTGTCTTCCCCCCTCTACGAATCCGCAGTGCAGCTCCTTAATCACTTGGTAACCTCAGTAAAAAAAAAAAAGTATTTTCAGTGTTGTAAGAATGTGCTACTAGGCCTGAGATTAAAACATTAGAAAACCTACACAGTTGATTTGGTTCATTTATATCCAATATAATGTACTTTACACATGGCTTTCACTTACACTGAGCGGGTAATTGCCTAAACGGTTGAAAAAAACATTGCTGTGTATAGAAATCACCCCCAACAGAAAGTCCAAATTCATGATAAGAATAAAAAATGTTGAAAGCCTTTTAAATATCCTGAAACTGACACAAATGTGTTAAGCCATTTTATCATGGTTCCAAACTGAAATAGTTCACCTTGACCAATAGAGCGATTTGCAAAGTTGTACATTTGCATGGCGATGGTAAAATCCTCCAGGTTGTTCAGGAACTGAAAGAAGGACCTGAACTCCTCAAAGGTGATTCCCTGCAAAGGAAAAGCAAAAAATTTTTAAATGTTTTTTTTCCCCGTGAACTGGAGGCTACACGAGCCACCTAAAGCATGCTGGCTGCATGAGTCAACACTCCAGCAAAAGATGGTGCAAAAATTCACACAATACATAATCTGGCTCCTTTCATCTTGGAAGGAATCCTTTAGTGTGTGTGGGAGCTTGAAGCCATCAGATAGATAACACACCCATACAGACAAAGTATACATTGCTGGATTTTCCCTGTGCAGTATGGACATGCTGAGCTGTCAGCAGTGGGGGGAGGATTGTAGCTTTTGGGGAGAGGTCAGGTCGCTTGCAGACTTTTCTAAAGCAGATTAACCTGATACTTGAATAAACAAAAACAAAAGTGATGAATCCCCAAACATCTCAGGCTTGGCTGATGACTCAAACACTGAGCCCATTGAAGTCCACTCAACCATCCTGCAGCTACTAGCTGTTTCTCTTGCCGGGGGCCCAGCCGAACAGACAACACACACCGCCTAACAAATGGAGTAATGACTAATCTGTGACGCTTTGCCGTTTTAACAATGTGGGAGCCATAAAATATCGCTTAGCACAACGATGAGACCCACTTGATTATCAATGGAGATCTAGCAACAGGCTACTCGACGGGGCTGAGTAGCTGCTAGCACCTTTTCATGCGGGTCAGCGTGCCGGAGGACAAACAAATTAAGGGCGAAATGAGGCCGCTTCACTCAACAGCAGGTTCCCTGAAGAACCAGAAGAAAATGCTCCCATATACCCAAAAAAATCAGCATGCTCATGTATTATTTTCAGTTGAAAGCACATGTAGAAATGTAAGAACAGAAACTTTACTTTGAATTAAAATGGTGTTGTGGCAGCAAGCTTCAAAGAAAAAGGTCAAATGCTTCGGAAACCCCCTGATGCTGAGAGTGCTGCTCGACATTTTCACTATGTTTTGTGATGTCTGTGATTGTGATGTTTTAGAAGCTGTCAGTTGGTGCAACAAAGGTGGAATTTTATTTTTCTAATCTTTGTGAGGTGTTTTTTTGTGGTTTTTCCACATTATGAATCACACATGCTCATCATTTGAGTAAGAATGTGCTGTCTGTATGCTGGACACGCAGCTAAACCCAGCGGGCTGTTAGCTTAGCATTAAACTCTGAAAAAAGGGTAAAGTTACCATTCTCTTTCCCGCGTCTGGTTGCATTACTAAACATTTTTACCATTGCATTACTAAGTAGCTAATTGTAACAGGTGCTTTATAAGATTCGACTTTCACATCAGATTAATTAAAATCTTAAAATCCTAACTGTGTTTCCAATTGATATTATATTGGAGATGTTACAACCTGTGTTTTCTATTTTGGACAACTTTTTCCATTCCCTTTCTCAGCTACAGAACCTCAGTGTAGATAAGCATCACAGAAGGGCCATATTCTTCTGTATATCCTGTTTCCTTATCTGTTCAAACAAAAGGCCTGAAAACGACTAATAAACCCTGCTGGAGAGAAAAAAAAAGTTTAATTCATCCAATTGATTTTATGATGTTTCATTTTAGAGTTGTCCAAGCATTATTTTTTTTCTTCATTTTTTGTTTTTTATGTTTATGTTGTTTATGTTTATGCATTTGGCAGACGCTTTTATCCAAAGCAACTTACAGAGTAGACACAATATTACATTTCTCATCACTATAACAATAAGCTATATAGAGGAGAAACACTGATCAGAGTCAGTGGTGACAGCAAGAGATAGAGGTAGAAGGGACCACAGAAGGAGTTTTGGGGGGGGTATTGGTACGGGTTAAGATTAGGATAGGAGATGCTCTTTGAAGAGGTGGGTCTTCAAGAGTTTCTTGAAGACAGACAGGGACTCTGCTGTTCTTGTGGCGCTTGGTAGGTCGATCCACCATCTTGGAACGACACATGCAAACAGCCTGGATTGTCTTAAGCGTGGTGAAGGCACTGCTAGACGACAATCCATTGATGACCGGAGTGATCGAGTTGTGACATAAGCCTTTGCAAGAGGATTCAAGTAGATGGGAGCCGTACCCTTAAGCACTTTGTAGGCTAGCATCAGGGACTTGATTTGATACGGGCAGCTAGAGGTAACCAGTGGAGTTCAATGAACAGAGGGGTGACGTGAGATTTTTTGGGCTGATTGAAGACCAGACGCGCCGCCGCATTTTAGATCATTTGTAAAGGTTTTACTGTACAGGCTGGGAGACCAGTCAGGAGTGCGTTGCAATAGTCAAGGCGGGAGATGACCATAGACTGCACCAGGAGCTGGGTAGCATGTTGTGTTAGGTACGACCGGATCTTTCTTATGTTTAGTAATGCGAAGCGACAGGATCGAGAAACAGAGGCAACGTGATCTTTAAAGAACAACAAATATTAAATGAAGTCTCATCAGCAAACCTTTTCATCCGGCAAGCTGTGACGCACGTTCTCTAAGTATGCGTTGACATCTTCCACGTTTGTGAAGCGAAGAAGGATATGCGCAAAGTCCTCTTCACTGATGGTAGGCATGCCTTTGGAGTAGGACAGGAACTCAATTTCGAGCACTTCCGTCTGCAGGTTGTCCATGAACCTGGTGGAGTGAAAACGCCAACATCAGAAGCTTAAGATCCTCACTAACAAAACCATGAAAAGTTTTGATTTTAGGAAGTGTAGCATTAAACAATTATTTCTGGAAAACAGTTTTCTCAGACAGTCAATAAACAATGAGAAAGCAAAACATTTCTAGACTTACTTGTAAAAATCCTCAAACTTCAGCTCTGCTTTGCCGCTTTTCCCAAAGAAATGCACTGACAATGTTGTGTCTGTTTCCTCATCCGCATTCTACGAAAGGTAAAAAAGTCGTGCTTTTTCACAGCTTTAGATTTTCAGCACAAAAGTGAAGTAGTCTCATAAAAGCAGCAAACCGTCGCAGCTCTCTGCAATGATTAAACCAAACTCTGTCAAAGTTTAGGCAAAATCGAAAATCCAGTATTGTGTCTCTCTAAAGGCTCTCACCTTAACAAGTTAACAGCTTTATCCGGTTCAAGATCTTTCTTTGTAACTACTCGAGTTCTTCATTCACTCTTTAGAAACCAATCATCGGGCTGACATTCCTCCATCCAAAAACACGTGCCATGCAACACAATCATTAAACATGCTGCAAATCTGGTTCAAAGAAACATTAGCTCACATAGAATTTCCCCCTTTATCATAAGATAGATAATAACTGGTATTGTGCTGCTAACAGAAATGTATACAGGTTCTCTTTTAGAGACACACAGCAGCTCTCAGATGATACATTGATATATAGTGTGATCACTTTACAGAGCAAAGGGTGCCTTGCTACCTCAGTCAGATCAGAAAACAGTACTTGACTTGTGCCACGTCTGAGAACGTCCCACATGCCTGGGGCCGCCATATGCTGACCGTCTTTTTTAAGAACCTGCGCAGCGGTTGAAGCACAGCAGTTAGATGACAAAATACACCTTGTTACCATGATTAGGGAGGGGACAGAAAGATACTCGGACTATACACAATGACAGTCGGGAAGACTGGGACTGACACACACACGCAAAAGGAAAGGAAAAGCTGGAGTTAGACAGGCATTCTGAAACAGAGAAGCATGCAGAAACAGTACGGGGCTGACATGAGCCTGCTCTGCAGCCATGCATGCAAACTCTTGGCACAACACTGTGTCGACATGGTTAACACATGTCCAAAGCATGCAGAGCGTAAGACGGCTGAAGGAGGATTCATGTTGGGTCAGTTCTGTAACAGAATCCAGCTACATGTCATCATTTGATGCTAAGCTGCAAAGTAAATGCAGGCTATCAAACGCTGTCCATCCACATTTGTGTTGTGAAAAGCTTCACATTTCTATCTTATACATTTCCTGGAATCAGTTTCGGTCTTTTCTCTGTGTCACAGCTGCTGCTTGATGCCGCCTGGTAGCAGGCAAGTAGTACTTTTCTCAATAAAGTCAAATGAACCAGTCATTATTCTTATTACAGTTTACTGCTTTCACTCAGCCACCAGCTGTGAAAGCACAACACTTTGCTTTTAAACATTGTGAAGTCCAATAGGAAGCTCCCAGTCTCTTGAGCACTGAAGAAAAACTCATGATTTCATCAGAGAGAGCCAGCTGCTGCTGACACTTCATTGCCTGCCTAATTTCATAGTTGATTATATTTATTTACCTTATTTAGTTTTTTGTGTCTGAGGCCTGGGTGACGGTTGACTAAACAGCTCTCCCACTGCGCCTCTACGCTTTTTACCAGTGGAAGATTTATTGGACAAACCCACAGCTAATTATGGAACAACTCTTCAAGGCCCCGCTCCCATCTTCACTCGTGAAAACATCCTGATATACTTGTAATTAGAATATGCTGGGGGAAAGCCCAACCACAGCGCTAAGGGCAGGCCTGCCTAAAAAGGTTTGACTTTTGAACTGTCTTCTGGAAAGATGCCTACAATTAAATAGAGGGATTCAAAACAAAAGAACCCTAAGGTGAGAATCTTCAAATAGCATTGTGTAAAGATGGACCCATCTCTTCTCTCTGTTAGTTACAGGCTCTTCTGAGTGCATATGTGTGTGTGGCTTTCAAAGAGCTGATTCTCCTGTCTTCATCTTCATGGTCAAACCCATCTGAAAAGGTAACTTGAACCCAAGTTCCACTCCTGGAGAAAACTGTAAAAATAAAACAAGTGGGTCCAGGCTAAAACACTGTCAGTCTTTAAGCAAGAGCTTTTTGAAGTTGAATAATTTGCCTAATGTCAAAAAGTATTACTAAGAATATCAATCCCCTGCACTGAAGACCCCCACCCCCACAACCCACGAGAATATCTGCTGTAAACTGTAACAAATGTGGGTGGTGTAAGACCCTGAGTCTGTTTACTACTTGTAAAGAACACCCCATTCCAAAACGACATGCAGCAAGCAAAACTGCTCATTTTCCCTCAGAGAGAAAGAACAATACGTACACTGTGTGGCAGGGATTTGTGGTGACCGTAAAGTTGCAGGTTCTGAAACGCAGAGACAGAGGGTTCAGGCTCTATGAAGGATTCATTCACTGTTCACAAACTATTACAAATTAGGAAGATGATTTGAGTGTACAAAGACATTGTCCTTTTATGAAATGACTTTCCTGGTGATCCAAGATTAGCTTTATTATTCTCCTTCGTCTTCATACACAATGCTGTTTTCTTGTAAAGCATCATTACGCTTCCAAATCTAGAGTGCCCATTCTAATGATCTTTTTGATAGTTATACGGGCATAAGATTAATTCAAGACTGTCCAGAGATGCAAACATCTGTCCTGGCAGAATAAGCTCCTCCATGTTGTGCTTGTGTGATAAGACCTCAAAGAGTATCTCTTATCGCTCTCTTCTTCCCCGCCTGTTTACATCCACCTGCATGCGGCTTAAGAAGTCCTAAGGAGATGAAAGCCTCAGGCATGTTTTACCCTGTATGACCACAATCACCTCTGTGCAGCAGCTGTTCTCTCTAGGATTACAACAAGTGTTGCTTGTGCAACTGGTTTGCCATATCCACCATCCAGTTTTTCCAAGAGATGGGGAAAGGATCTGTTTAGTAATTCTAGCCACATTCCATAAAACTTGGTGGAAAAATAGGAACCCATTCCGTTCTGCAAGATGATGTACCTCTGTTATCAGACAATGGAGAACATATACCCATTTTATCTTACATGATGACATCAATATTGTAAAATTTCCATTGGACACAACAGAACAGCACTGCGGCTCCGGATTGCAGTTGATCTGTATTTTTAAGATCTAAACTACCTTAAGTTAAATTAAATTTCAAATAACCTTTGAGACCCACCTTTGAAGTCCAATGGGCATTGAACAGGAGCAGCAAAGCAGAACCCCAAAGTCAAACCTGAAGCCCTAAAAAGTAGTTAATAAATCCCTATATCCAAATAAAACTGGCCTCCATAGCTGCCTAATTCCAATTATAATTTAAGGTTTGTATATAGCTTTGTCTGCCATCAAGGAGAAAAACAATAGTGGGCTAAAGAGGATGAGATTTTTTCACAGATAGACCACAGCCGAATATCTCTTAACCACACTGCTGTCACTGGAGTGTTGATGTTTGGACACAAGCCATTTTGGGCTGAACCAATTAAAATTAATAACAACTGCAGAACAAAAAAAACAGACTGACGTTTAATACAGTATTTCAAACTTACTTGTCGGTCCAAGTTTTGAAAGTCCTCTGTCATTTCTTTTCTATCCTTTTTCTTACGGAAAATCTCTTCCAACTGAGACAGAGAACATGTGTCAAGGAGAACAGAACATAACAGGGCAAATGTGTTTTATTATGTCCAAGATTAAGTCCATACCGCCAAGAACTCCCTTTTGTCCACCATTTCGTTACCGTCTGCATCAAACATGTTGAAAGCAATCTGAAAGCCTGCATGGGGCTCTAAAATCCAACAAAAAATGTTTGTTAGCAAAGCACCTTTTGAATACCAAAGATAGTTTGGTTTAATTGAGATGGAACATATGCTGACTTGTTAAAATGCAGAGCAGGAAGAGATATTCTGTGTAACTGATGACACCTGGAACAAAGAAAAAAATCAAGTCAAGGCAAAGAAATGAACACCAGAATGTTCCTTTTCACACTCAAGATGGCATCAAATGGCATTAACCCTTTAACTTGTGGTGTTTACAGATGTTCAAAGTCATGCTGTTGAGATGAATAAACCGTCAAAAGAAACGGGGCACACCTCCAGACATAAGTAATCTTCTTGTGCTCGCTGATAACATCTTAAAAGGTGCCTTTTTACTTCATGCTTGGTGTTTCCCTCACACAAACACAAGCTTTACAACCAAGCTGACCTATCTGGACACAAACCCAAACAAATTTAAGGCCCATGGCTTCTGATCGTGCTTGGGTAACAAGGTGTAATACATTCTCAAGTGATCTGTCACTGTTTGAGAATGGCCGAATTGGGTTTTGTGTGGCGTCCTTTAGCTCCCTTTGTTGTGTGACACAGAGAGGGGAAGAGTAAGTGTCAGGAGACATCTCTGAGACTCAGGAGGCTTCTCCCTCCTGCCTCTGAAAGCATTCCCAAGCTTTTGTTTGCCCGGGAAGATAGAGAATTGAGCACAGATAGTTCTGGGTGACTGCTCCAAGTGTTATGGGAAAAGAACTCAGGTACAGGGTTTGCTGCAGGGAAATATTTTCAAAAAGAACACCCAAGGGAGGATGCATGACTTTTCCTCTGTTTTCAGAAATTGGAGCCATGCACCTATGATCTGTGATAAAAAGAAGACAGGCTGAGCTCATGTACAAATTTTGGAGTGAAAAGATAATTAGAGGTACATGCCACTAAGTGAAGTTCATCTAAAAATTTCCATGACAGGGAGCTCCGTCGTCTCTTCGTTCGGCATATACGGCCCTATAATGACAACAGATCTTTACCTTCAAAGCCTTTAAAGCTTAAACGGTTTGAAAGGAGAAAAAAAATCTTAAGATTCCTGCCATGTCTCACCAATACCACACACCTTCACTCCTGGAGGGAGCTCCCCTCCTCCTCCCTGCAGCTCAGCCTCTGAGCTCAAGTAGATGTTGTTAGACAATACAAAGAATTCCACAGAAACACTTCATACAGAGTGGCAGTCCCGGAGATGTAATCCAATGCTATTCTCTGGCTTCATAATGTCCACGGTGATCAGGGGGGTGGCCAGTGGGACATGTCTCGACATAGCAGGGTTCAAACAGCTCCCTCATTCTCTAAAGCAACGCTTTGTTCGCAGATCAATCCAGTTCTTTTTTCCCTGACAAAGCTGCAGCGTTTAACAGCAGGATTAAAAGCCCCATATCCCAGCATTGGCACTTAACTAAAGCAACAGAGGGGAGAGCAGAACAGTGAGACCTGATGCTCCGATGGCTCGCCTGACCCAACGAGCAGGGAGCGTGCAAGAGCACTGAAAGTTACACCTAGTCTTACAACAAGGAGCAGAAGGCTGCTGTAACTTCACAAGTTAAATCAGATTCTCTCCTCTTAGACACGCCTGTGCCCAGCTTAATAACTAGAAATAACTGTACCGACAGTTATTAAGCTGAAGGAGTTGTCATGGTGAATGATGCTAAACATGGAGTGAAGGCTGGGAAGTCAAGAAGCCTGGTCCTGTTGATTCCCCGCCGCAGCAGAGGATTCAACTCTGAAACTACATTTGACAATCGCTTTGTTTTTAACATTGCGCCTATGACAACAAAAAATCCATAGGTGAAACAAGTACTGAATTCATATGAACACATATGGTGAAAAGGAAATAAATCTTTTCTACTGACATTTAAAAACATGATCAACTTTTTTTAGGATGTTTATTTCCTCATTAATAATCATCCGTCAGCAAAATGCATCACTTATATGAAAAAAAAACTAACGGTAAATAAAAGAACGTATGCTGGATAAATAACACCAGAATTCAGCATTTTCTCACTTTTTTTAAATCAGAGAAAAAATTAAATATGTTCTCTCAAATCAAAGTTGGCCAGTCTTTCCATCAAAGTTTACCTTTAAAAAAATTCCATGTTACCAGACTGATTGAAGACAGCATTTACAGGCCACACCTTCTGTTATGGCTCAGGCATACAACACAACAGAACATGCTCAGGATGACACTGACTAAAACAGGAATCACTTCCATTCAAATGGTTTGTGTGAGCATTGAATCTAGCCGTGTCTTTACCTCGTTCTCGAAGATTTCTAAACAAATTAGATGATCCTTTCCAAGCAGGTGGGGTATCAGACAGCATCTTCTCAAATTCCTTGCAAAACAGAAGAAAATCCCAAATCATTCAGTCATTCAAAGGTTCTGAGTACCCCAGTGGTAATGCAGTGTTTACAGGAATTACAGTAATTACAGCGGTTTAATGCAGCTGAGGAGAAGGATCTGCCAAAAGCCTTGGTAGCAAACTCACCTTTTTTGAGAGAGACTTCCATCCTCTCTTGCCTAAAAAGAAACAAGTCTAAAGTTAGTGCTTGAAAAGAACTTATGCTGTTATAATAAATTCTTTATCAGGGGCAACAGGGCTAGGAAGCAAAAGTGAAAACAGGTGTTTATGTAGATGGAAGCATATGCTGTGAATTCCCATGAACACATTCCAATGGCCCATAAAGCAGAAGATAAGAGGGATGTGTTGTAAAAGAACCTGGCGGGGAAATCACATTGATAACAGTGGCAGCAACCTCTCCACTGACACATTTTAGATCCTGTGTCTGTGTTCTGATTGTCATGTGAAAGTTCAGCCTGCACTTAGGGGAGAAACCAACATTTCTGATGGATTATGTATGAATAATTTAGATGATTCAAATGGTTCACTTTCTGAGTGGCCATAACATCACCCCCTTACAATATATTTGACACCATGTGTTACTGGGTGATTCATTTCCAAATTAAACCCTCAGGAACATCACGACAATTCGCCTTTTACGACCACTATATAACCATAAAAACACCATTTTGCAACACATTAGCAATTAGAAACCTTTAACACATTTCAGCTGTCCACGCACCTTATATCACAATCAACTTTCTTATCGTGACATTTACGACACCCATGCTAAGTTATTCAATGTCTGTGGGTCCCTGTAAGTTTGTTGCAACATAAATGGGCCATAAAAGTAGGGTTGCTGGTAAAGATGTCTATCTTTATGCAGGTGTTATGACTGAAGCACTTCAAGCCACGACTTATTATTGGATGACACTTCACAGGCCCTCAGCAACAAAAATATTCCAGGAAGAAACCCCAGGCCTGTTTTGTTCTTTTTTTTTTGTCCTAAAACTGTTATTAAACTGTTGCATAACTAAGTGATTTGAGGATGAAGGAGTGGAGATTTATCTTGATGGACATGTAATTAATCAAATGGCTGCTGATAAAAATGGTGAATTCAAACAAAAGTGGAGCAAGGTCAGTCTATCGTCTGCAGAGCAGAAAACTGTTTTGGCTTGACTAAGAAGAAAGGAGGTCGACTTCTGCTTAACTGCAAATAAATCTTCACTGCATCTACTTATCGTTTATTAATCCACAGGAATACCAGGAATCTTAAGAAATTAATTTGAACTCTTCTATGTTCAAACATGGCCCCAATGTTGGGGTAGATTTGGTTTTTAGCCGAATAGACTTAAGTTGAAATCATAATCTGCTAAATTAAGAATTTCAATTGAAAGTATTGACACACAGTTTGGGGAAAAGGTTATGAAAAACAGCTCTTAAAGTGGCATGCCAAAAGCCAAGTGTCAGAGATCCAACTGGTTAGAGTGTGCGTCTCACCTTTGTTAACATGAAAATAATAGTGTAAACAGAACACAGACAGAAAATGTGTATGTTGCAGTTAGTGGCAACTGGCTGAATTTATCTAGCTCGGAGGACTGAGGTTTGCTTTTGTTCGTAGTGCTGAATGGAGGGAAGAGGGAGATTTTAAAAGGTCTTTTACTATTTATGTACCCTCTTAAACCTTTAAACATCATTTGAGATGGAAGTGGTGACAGTTTTCATGATCACTTATGATACTGTTAATTCTAAGGTGCCACAAAACAACTGAAAAGGGAGCAAGTGGGATGACATTTTTAAATAATGTAGGCTGTCAGTGTGAAAAAACAACCAACAACCTAATTCAAATATTAACCACCAAAGTAAAAGAATATATAGATTCCTTTCAATAAGCTAGTTGCTTTACTTTTTGATAGCACAAATATCAGTGGATGAACTGAGGGTCAGACTGACTTACTCCTGGGTTCATTCAGAGTGACAGACTCGATGAAGTTTAGTGGAGTCATGTAGAGCTGGCCCTCATACTCCAGTGAGCTGAACAGCCGGAATCTGTTTTCATAGGATGACATGTACACATCCCCATCATCCAGGCCATAGCCTCTCTTCTGCAAGCACATGGAAAAACACATGCAGAAAGACTCATCAGTGATAAATGCCATCTGAGAAATGCTTTTTATGGAATCCACTGAGGCTTTTTCTTGTCACAGAAAGCCTCTCATGGCACAACAAAGAAGGCCATGCTTTAATTCGGTAATGGGGTACTACATGTTATGTCAGTCCTATTTTTCATCCCTGCATAGCAGATAATGTCCCTACAACTGCCCGGGTCCAGCCAGATCAGAAGGCTGGATTGGTGAGGACAGAGTGGATCTCTCTGTCAGGTGGCACTCCGCCAGGTCTACTGGGCACACAGCAAACACCCAGGGAATGTCTTCTCCTCCTCTGCTTAACCATTAAACCCCAGCTAACCACCCCCTCTCCTCATCAAATATCAGCGCCCCCCTCCCATACAAGCCCCAAGTGTCCAGTTTCCTGTGTCCCTGGATAGCTCAGGTGTGGAGGACAGCAGTCAAGCTTATCTCCCGGATATCAAACTCTAAGGGTAATTAAGTCAACACAGTAGATGTCGTTCACCAGGTTGTGGACAAGCTCCTTGAATTGAGAACATATGTCTGAGCTCAAGAGACTTTAGAGGGCAACATGGAAAGGGGAAACCAGCATGAACACCTAAGTTCAGTCACAGAATCCTCTTTAAAGCTGCTAAACTATTAGCTATGACATAAAACCCCTAATAATCAATCAGGCTTTTCACTGAAGGACTGTTTTTGACTAAACTTAAACTGTGTTACACGATAGCGGGACAAGACCTGCCTGAGTGAAGACCCTGCTTTGCCTGTAATAGAAAAAACTTTTAACTGACAGCAAAATTAGCAAATTGCCATATTCGGAAAGCATACAATCAAAAGTAATTGGTGAAATACCTTACCTACATTACTGTTTTTACACTAATCTCTGAGATCTCCCACTGCTTACCTATTTGATATAAATTTAAGCACAATGTATTTGGGTTTACATCAGTGGAAACAATAACCTTAAGAAGCTTAGAAGTCATCATTTGCTGCAGTTCATATTATCACAGGTTCATTTTAGAATTTAATGGTTGAAGTCCACAGTTTTTATGCTATAACCAAAGCTGTGCTCGCCACTACATATGATTGTATTTCCGCACTGTGACATTGATGGAATTGATCTAATTTACAGTAGAGTAGATATTTAAAATTCTGAAACAATATTAATGGATTAATTATTTAAGTATAAATATATAACAAAAAATAGCTGAGAAATAGAGAAAGGTGTTATAATTTGTCATTAACAATCAGAAATGTTTGTGCAGCAGAATACGGGGTATCATGTGTCAGGCTGTCATGTTTTTCAACTCCAAAAGAATGGAAATACAGCGGGGTAGAATTATGACACTGATACCATTCACAGCAGAAACAAACTAAATACGCAGCGGTGGCCGTTGTTTTGTCACGTGACGTAAGTCGCCTTTTCGCATTTTGTCATTTCAGCACCAAAAGTAGCGGATAGCTCCCAATACTAACGCAATATAGGCCAAATATAACGGTAACCTCACGCGCGTTAACGGTGCAATTAGCCGATGACTAGAGAAGGCACGCGCTGGATCATTTTTAACGACGGGGAAAGTTTTCCTTTCCCTTCTTTGTACGTGGTCGCTAAACGTCCCCTGTGCTTGACAAATGTCGCACTGTACCTTATCGGTGGCAGAGACTGACGGCAGTGCCAGGTGCACGAGCCGAGCCTCGACATGGCTCTTGAGTCCGGGGCGCCAACCCGCAAACGAGCACCAGTAATAAGCGGCACCAGCCGCGGCGGCGACGCACGCTCCCGCTGCGACTGCTTTCAGCGTTTTCGTCGCCTTCGAAGGCGTCTGCCGCCTCCCCGCCGCGAAAGTTCCTACTTTGGAGGTGTTGGTGAGCGAATGGATAAGCCTGCGCAGTGCGGCCATGGCTGTGTGTAGCGCTGGTGTCGTAACCGATAACACACGGCGCAGCGGAGCTGCACGAGCCGGCCACTGCACCGAGCTCGCGAGAAATGCCGTGGGTATTTCAAGTCGCGGTGGGATAACAGGGTATCAAAATAAGTCCAAGTTAAGAAAAGCCTTAAGGTTTGGAATATATTTAATGTCCATAAATGAATCCCTCGTTTCCTCATTCGTGGTATCATACCAAAAATAAAAATAAAATAATAATATATAAATATTTTTTATTTTTTATTTTTTTGTATGTATGTATGTATGTAATTTTGTATTAAAAAAAGTATGCATATGTATGTATAAAAAGTATGCCCACACGTTTCGTTTAGATTTTTCACGGATTAAGCTCAATACCATACATGCTCAATACAATAAGATTAAGCACATCACCTTATATTTTTTTGCCTCAAGTGAAAAAATCAAATCCCTGCCAGAGCACGTCTCAACTGTGACAGCCCCGCCCATAGTACTGTGAGTTTGCACCTGCACCACCCCTGCCACTTTTGGCTCGAAGCTTCAGAAGCCGCTCCACCTGCACTGCAGCGTTCACCGATCACGGACTACGACTGAATCCCCGTCCCCCCCCACCCCTCCTCCGCTTCCCCCCCACCCCTCCGCCCCCTTCTTCTGCGTCTGCACCTCCAGCTCCGCTGGAGCATCACCGCCCGCTGAGGACAGGTATCCAGAATGAGCGCTGCGTGAGCAGAAAACTGCAGCTCACCTCCAACTGATGAGGAGAAATCGGTGCATCCAAGCTGTTGAGATTTTTGCCAAAGTTTCGTGCCAAGGGAGGGAAAAAAAACCTTGGGCGCTCGCGAGTCCTTGCGCCACAGAGACGCGTGTTAAGTGGGTGGACGGGGACGTTCACATGCAATAAGTGTCAGCCGCGGCCAGGTAGCCAACTACGCAAGAGCGCACCCTCCGGTCCTCCTTGCTGAACTTTACCCGCTGAGCGTTTGACGAGATGGCCGCTGCTGCCGCCACTACTCTTGGGGAAGTTGGAAGCGTCCTGCAGGGCATCGACGGCGTCGCTCACGTAGGTTCCCATTTCTTCCTCGGTCCCCCGGGGGACAGTCCTCCGCTGCTCGGGGAGCACCTCTTACCTGGGGACCGGCTGTGGAGCACCACGACGGATTTAACGCACCTAAAAGGGATTCTCAGGAGGAGGCAGTTGTACTGCAGAACTGGATTTCACCTGGAAATACTTCCGGATGGCACGGTGCAGGGCACGAGGAAGGACCACAGCCGTTTTGGTAAACATTGAGATTGCGAAATAAATTAAGCTTGATGAAGTGAAAATAAATATAGGTGGAATGAGGAAGTGTTTAGTTAGGGGAAAAAACATGCCGCTGACATAGTTGCACGTGAGATTCTTTGATTGTACTTTCATCTTTGTCAGGTGTGATCAGAACAACTGTGTTATTCTCCTGCAGGCATTTTGGAATTCATAAGCCTCGCTGTTGGGTTGATAAGCATTAAAGGGGTGGACAGTGGACTTTACCTGGGGATGAATGACAAAGGAGAGTTGTATGGCTCTGTAAGTATCACTTTGGTTCCCACTTCATTTTTTTAATTAATCTACTGTAACATCTTTGTTACATGTTATAACATGTTATCATGTTTGTGTAGAAAAAATAAAATTGACATGGAAATAGCCTCTTTGACTTTACCTCTTGTTTTCTAGAAAAAGCTTACAGCTGAATGTGTCTTCAGGGAGCAGTTTGAGGAGAACTGGTACAACACATACTCGTCCAACCTCTACAAACACGGAGACAAAGGGACGCGTTACTTTGTGGCGTTGAATAAAGATGGCACGCCGAGGGACGGGACTAAATCGAGGAGGCACCAGAAATTCACGCACTTCCTGCCAAGGCCGGTGGACCCCGACCGCGTGCCGGAGCTGTACAGGGATATCCTGGGACACAGCTGAGATGTGGAGGGGCCTGCAGGCTCAGATCAGGAATAACTGCTTAGAGCCCTGCCCGGCAGGGAGCAGGAAGAGAAAAAGAGGGACGCAGGCGGGGATGAGGCCGGTGCAGGCTGGCGGACGGCAGCCCGACCGGCAGGGATAAAGGTACCGGGGGGCCTCTTGCAGGAATGCACGGGAGGCCATCTCTCAGCAGCCACGAAGACAGGCTAGAATGTCTCGGCATGAGGGGCTCGTTTGTTCCAGAGGCTGAGCGACCCTGCGAGTGTCCCCGTGGAATAGGAGACAAATGGGAAACGGAGCTGCTCGGTCGTGGAGCATCTCCCCTGTTGTCTGCTGGACAGAGATGTCAGCTGACAGGGAAGTCTGTGGGAACCTGTATTATCTGGAGACTTTACGCAGGTGCTGTGTCAGAGAGCTGCAGTTTGTTCAGAAGGACTTTGAAGGATTTTTATCTTTTTATTTCTTACCTGTGTCAAGACCTGATTGAAAAGAGCAAAATGTACATGTTTATTTATTCATTTTAGATACACATATTTATGCTATATATTTATTTATTTTGGAATATATTTTTACAGTTAGAATCATGCAATACAGGCAAACCACTAGAGTCTATATCAACTATATAAAGATTTTAAAGCTGTACATTTAAGCCCTTTTGTACCAAAACAAAGCAAATTATTAAGTGTAATAGGACCAAACCTTTGAATGGATTTCCACATCTGGTGTACTTTATCACAATGTGGCAACTGTGAATCCCAGTGTAATTCCCTCTGATCCAATAATTTTGACCAAACTACTGTTACATGTCTTTAAAAAATAATAATCTGAAGCCAACAAATTGGAATAGAAAGAAACAATAAATTTCTTTAAACCTCATTAAAATGCCTTTTTTTTGTGACCCCCACCGGATCATGGATGAGTGTGTCTGGTTTATGTCTCACTCTGTCTTTACCTGTGATCCAAATTCTTGTCGGAAAAAGCAAACATTGAACTTTTAACCGACTTTGGGAATATGTGTGCTTTAGTAGTTGACTTTGCCTTTCAGAGTTTAAACATATAAACCAGCTTACGAGATCGGTGTTGTCTTTTTTTATGGATGCCATTACGCGGACGGCCGAACCGCAGACTTGATGCTTGCATAAAACTTCAAAGCTTTTGTCTCTTAACGCTTTGAGTGGAGAGACAGCCCAACGACATGATCAGGGCCAAATAAAATCTGACCTTCAGCAGTGGCCCTGCAACTTTAGCAAATGTATAAAACTGGAGGTCAAGAGCGATAAGGTTTAAGTAACCTCTGCATGCAATTTGGGGGTAGATGGTTACACGTCCTATCAAACAATGGAAGTCAATGCAGCCAAGGCAGGGTTAAGCAAGCCCTGTTTGTCTTTTCATGTTAATATTTAAAGATGTTTTGGGGGTTGTTGTTTTTCTTTTGTCTTTTTTTTTCTAATAAAAGAAAAAGTAAACCTCGCTTTATTGCGATTGCTAGCACGTTTAAAAAAAATGTTATTCTTTAGAAGAGACTATCGTGTCTTTGCAAAGTTTCCTCCACGGTTGGGAGCAGGTCTGTGTTGAAGCGTGAAAACTTTGTGTGTGATCCGTGTGTGTGTGTGAGGGTGTGCCAGTGGGGTTGTCTCGACAGGGATATCCAAACCTTCTGCCAATTCTCTCCCTTGTGCAGCATGACACTGTGGGACTTTCCCACCTGCACAACTTAAAAAAATCAACACGCTCGTGCCGTCGATTAATGCGTGGATTATAACCTCCGTCCACAGAGGAAAAATCCCTATTACAGCACAAAAACAACACATATGAGGCTTGTTTTGTGGAAAGATGCTGTTGCAGAAAGGGTCCTGCATTGCCTGGATACCACCTTCTTTTCTTATTTTTTAGCCACAAAAGGCAGGCTTTCTCTAAATCTAAGAGCAAAACCCTCTTCTGCTCCCCCTGGGAGTTTGACGGTCACCTCTTTTAAGCATACGGGAAATCCTGACTTGTGATACCTGATGCTCAGAAGTGCTGTTTGGCATCTGTTTAAAGGATGCTTTAGGAGACTACCTGGCCCTGAGACAGACGCTTCTGTTCCAGCCAGCCATCCTTCTGCAGGTGGTCTGCGGCTTCTCACCGAAAACACTTAGGATCCCTCACCCACTATGGAGGGTCGACTCACTGGCCTGCTGGCAGCTCTGTGAACTTTCAGCACCTTCTCAGCAGCGGCCTGAGAGGCCCCTGGAAGAAACCACATCAACTGTGTTGTTTATACATTAGTACATGCATATATATGAAAGTGTGTGTGTGTGTCTGTGTGTGTATGTATGGCACGGGTCCAGGGGTAGGTGCGGAGTCCAGTGATCTTCCTCGTCTATCTTCACACTCCGGCCAGACAGCGCAGGTGTTCTCTCAGCACTCAGGCTCTCACACTCTGATCTCAGCCCTGCTGTTTGTTAGCTGGGGATATGACTTAGCACCAGAGGGTGGAGAACGAGGGTGGAAATATAGCTGGCTTTGTAGTCTGCCCCCAATTATCAGAGAGCATAATTTCTATATTTAGAAGGCTGTGCTGGGAAAGACAGGGGAGGTGCCTCGAAGCTCACCTGTTGCTTTAAAGCTGTGGCCACTTCTAAGAGTGTGTTTGCGCAGGGACGGTGTCTGCAGCTTTGTGTCACTGCGATCCTGCAACTATTGATTTCAGGCTCCTTGTTGTTTGTTTATTCCTTAGTAAATTGCTGTGCGCACAAATTATTAGCTGCACGCGTGTTTATGGGGATTACAGTAGAAGTGTAAGTATAGCGTTATCCACTTGATACTTTTGGGATTTCATTCGAGTCCAGAGAGATGAAGTGTCCTGGAAAAGTCCGCAGCCAGGGCTCCCAAATATTGTGCGTCCTTTCCCACATTCACAGTGGGGCCCGGGCGAAATCACCTCTCACACCTCATGCGTTGCACTTGGTTGGCGTCCAATCACTTTAAGCGTCATAGCTAAGAGGATTTTGTGGTCTGCCGTGCGCAGAGCAGCAATCAGACCAGCACACCTGATTTACTGACACTCCACGTTACAAGCTGTCAGCTCAGGGGGGGAAAATATGCTGCTTTGTTTGCGTCCCCATGGCAACCGCACCAGAAAACAGAGATGTCTTGAGGTGCAGAAAAAAAAAACGAAAAAACAATGTCACTTAAGCAGGCAGTAAAATCTCAATGAACAAGGCACCGACTGTCAACGAAGCAGAACTGCATTTACTGTCGCTGCTACTCACAGACAGTTTTTGTTTTAACTTAAGGGGATCTGAGCTGAAGCGTCTTAGCTGGCATAACAAGCCCTCAGCTGCCATCTGTGGAAACTAATGCAGCACACATATAAAGAGAAGTTAAAGAGAGGAGTTAATAGCTGTAGGTACACTACACATATGATTTACTATGACGGACAATTACATGGGGATTACTGGGTTTTGACAGGGGGTTGTTAAACTATTTGAGCACAGGGTCAGGTTGATTGGAACTTTCTCGCTCCATTTCTGCAATATTAGATATAAAAAAATTATCACCTGCAGTGGATAGCGCAAACAACATTCTGGGACTTCTTAAAGTTGGTAACTTTGCATGGAAATCAATAATAACAAACTGGAAATGTTCACAAAGGAGAGTTGGAACCTTAAATATAGCAGATAAAAATATATTGTAAGATGTTGCAGTTGATTATCTTTTCCATTCCCTAATTACATTCACATAGTATACTGATTGCTACAGTGACACTATATGTCGTGTATTCCTCCATCACATGCACGTCTTTTTAGAATTCTGGACATTTCCAGACAAAAACAACACATTTGGGCTGAATAACTACATACAGTTGAGTGGGTTCTGACAGTATAATGAGTTCCATAAACTAATGTCCAACAGACACAACTTGTTTAAATGAAATAACTGCAGTTTGGAATGGAAGTGTACATTTGGTAAATGGTGTTGAAGTTTAACTGGCGACTATTGAATGAAAATGCATTTATGTAGTAGCTATGTAACTGGTAAACTGGTTTACTAAATGTGAACTGTCAATCGTATCATGGTGCGAGTTACCCCAAATTATGCTGATGAGGCTGTTTCCTCCCCCTTACAGTTTTTAGTCATCAATAATTTTACATAACATCACTTGTGAAGTATTTGGAAGATAATGCTATCAATCCAGCTCTGTCATCTTATTCTACAGAAAAATGCCATTTACAGCCATCCTGTGTGGAGGTATTTCACTGCAGCTAACGTGACAAGTTAGTAGTAATTCATCTGTAGATTACAGAAATTGTCATATTTTCACAATGTAGAGGAATAAAGATGATATGGAAAGCTTGTGAAAATAAGAGACATTTTCTATAACCTTTTTTTACTTCTTTGCAACCTTAATTTCAAACAAGAAAAGGTTGGAAAATGAGTTACTTTCATCGTCGAACGTTGCTTCTTCTGCATTTGTCTCGCCGTTACACCGTTAAATTCTCACCTCATCAGATTTTTTACATGAATTCACACATACATTTTCAAATGTATAATTTACTTTGGTCAAAATACCACAGAAACAATAGCTTAACACCATGAATTTATACCTTGGCTGACGACACAGAAACAAAGTCCTAGCTGGAAGACATTGTCTCATCTTAGGCTAATGTCATGTTTTCAGTTCAGTGAATAAAACTGTTGCTAATTAATGTGCAAAGCAACAAGCAAGAGCAAAACATTTTCAAATATGTCGTTGGATATGCAATGACTCTCGTATGCTTTCAATATCCACATATATGCATGGCCTCTTGCCCCAAAACCCTCCTCCCTGTCCAGCACATCTGCTGACCAAACCAATGTAGCAGTCTCTTCGGAGCCAATGTGTCACCCCTTCCTCTGGCCTATGTGTCCAGATTACAGAGTAACAAATTAGGCTTTGACATTTGGAAGTGATAATTGCCCCCTAAAAAGCATGAGGCATCAATTAAGCTTTCAGGCCCACAAAAGGTCATCGCTAAAGGACATAATCACCATACCAGACTGTTCAGCTGGACGGTCCCACCAGGTAAAACACAAAACTCAAGCACACAAAGTCCCAATTACACAGATAGTACTGTGAATATTTCAATTTCAATCATTTCAAAAGAGGCTGAAACAGCAAAGATGCCTCAACACATGTTCATAATGTTAAAGATGTCTGACAATCCAGACTTTGGGGAGAGGCAGACACATAATAGCATGGACCCCTTCCACTTCTTTCTTTCTTTTTTTTTTTTTTTACTCAAGTGCCGCCTGACAGTTTGTGCTCCCACAGAGCACAGAGATCCTAAGCGGCAGATTAAAGGTCAATTGGTTCATTTCCATAGATTCCGCTTGTAGTATTCTTTTAGACTTCAAAAGCAGGTCAGTGAGCAGTGAGAGCAAAGCCAAGCGATTTGCTAATAATGCAAAAAATCTAAATCAAGAAGAATAAATCCCAGAAAAAAATAAAGACTTCAATTATGAACAACTTTTTTTTTAAAAGACAAAGTTACACTGTGGCTAAAAATATGACATCGTCAAACAGTCTGCAGCCAAACTAGAATTTCCATGAGGTTGTGTAAAATTCTCCTGCTCACTATTACGAAGACAGTGTTAACGTAATATCTGTAAGTATTATCAGCATTAACTTTGAAAGCTTGGCAAATTTCTGAGCGTTCAGTTCATTGAGGGGAAAAGTGAGGAGCCCTCTTAAAATTCTGTTGTAGAAAAAAAAAAAAACAGGCCTTCCTTTCTTCATCAGCAGATGATCTCATTGTGTGAAGTCAGGCTTTCACATAAGCATGTTTTTCTTGATACATCACACCCAGTGTAACTGTTCATTTGGACTATAAGGGCAGCAAAAGCCAAAGTAAAGAGTCCAGCTATGTGAAAATCCTCCCTGCCTGGTTAAGG